TCCCCTTAAACTTAGTCAAGTTTATGTCAAACGTCTGAACCATCTTTTTCTGCCGTGCTGCACTGCGTCCACTCGGTTCGATAAAACTTGCTTAGTATTTAATGTTCAATTGCACGTTCACTTTGTTGATTGCGTTAGCTCTTAGGCAGTTGAAAAGCTTCTATTCCTATCATCCTTATGCTTTGCGTCAATAAGAAGCGGAAACAGGTGAGGATTTTTTAAAATTCTATTTGTGAAAACTTTTACTTTAGATTGGAATTGAAATCTAAATATATACAGTATATACAGTATATACAGTATGTATAGAATTATAGTAACGTAGTAATGTGAGTAGAAAGTCACTTTGTTAAAAGACCCAGACACTCTTTAAGCTAAGACTCTCGTTCAGTTTCAAACACGAACATCTGTTTAATGTGTTTGATCGACGTTCTCTTAGTTGCAAGAATAACGATATCGTCATTAAATTTGGCAAAAGCATAGGAAGTTCTTATGTGTATTGGAAAAGATCCAAGAAGAGAAGAAGAGAAGCTCATGACGGTTTTGAGATTTTATTCGTCACTTACACTGTAGCGAATATAGCGATAAAAAGCTCCCCGTATGATCAGACAGCATGTGCGATCAGCAGCAATGTAAAGCTCATCCAGTGCGCTAGGCTAGAGAAACTTCATTTCGGTTTTTGGAGCCGAATGTTTGTAAAGAATTCGGCAACAGTCTATGCTAGTTTTGCTGTAAAATTTCTGTTTTCACTTATGTAATTTATACTAGATTTAGAGGCAGTCTGTTTGATCCACTGTGTGTGTGTGTGATCGTTAGAATGTAATTTGCGTAGTTGAGGGGCGCAATTTGTTTTGACGATTCGACTTAAAATTTGATATTTGACGTAACGGCCCATCAGGCATTTTTCAATATTTATTGTAATGGATCTGATTACCTATTTTCTCATGTTCTTGTCAGTACCCGGATAAATGTCACCAATAGATACTGTCCAGTGTGCTGATTCGTCATTATTCTTATTAAACTGCAAGATCAGACATAATAACGTCTGCAGCCAGCATCGTTAGTGCTATTATGTTTGCTGCTTTGCCGGGTATAGAGATGGACGGTTACCATCTTACATTGTATATTCTCTTCAAATATTTGCTTCAATCTTCGTTGTTGTTGTTGTTGTTGTTGACGGTGACATGCTAAACATGACTTTTCTCACGTTTCCCGAAATCTCTTAATTCAACCTTCATACTGTTGTCACTTTCCAATAAATTTGTTTATTGATTTACTAATTGAACTATAATAGGATAGCAGCTGACTTAAGCAAGTAGGAGAACGTTAAGAATAACTTTAAACTAAAAGTGCAAAAGTTTTTTAATTAAAAGAAAAAATAAATTTAAAATAAAAGATGGGGAGACAAACGGGAAGAGAGGAATGCATATATACCTCTAGTACAGACACACACTAAAACGTCGCAAGACCGTCTATTGCACTTAACAACGGCGACGAGTCAATAACACTACTTGTTAACTTAACTGAGAAGGATATGCTTATTATACATCTACGGTTCTATAGTCGAGAGTTAGATCTATGGCAAATCTATTTGCGTTCCTTGGCAATGAAATTCCACAACTCAACTCGGATTCCTTGGAGAGGTGAGAAAAATTTTTCCTGAACAGATGCAATTTATTAAACATAGGAACAACGAGAAAGGATAAAACATAGCCGCACTCCAGTCTAATCACGCTTGCATACGTAAGGCTTCGTCTAACTTTTGAGTCTTTATGAAGTTTTTGATAGGATAAGACAACTAAGGCAATGTGGGAACCACTTCACTCTGCACTTTTTTTATATTTAATGCCATGGATTTATGCGAGAAACGAAGATTGGCTTGGAGTAGACGAGAATATACGCCTCTAAGTTAAACGAGAAGAACAGTCTAACATTAATTACGGAAGTGAGATCAATAAGGTGCACGAAATAGAACTGGTCCAGGAGATAACTTTGGCGAACACTTGATGTCAGAGGAAATTCATCAGAAACGTAATGATCTATTATGGAAATAAATGGGGAGCAGGCAGACTGAAGCTTAAGAATCAATAATCTATCTGTGAACTGCTGTGGAATGCTTTAAAGGTATGACAAATAATAAGAAGGTAGGTAAAAAATAGTCGTAACTTTCAAAAAATATTCAATAAGTTTAATATAACACCGTAGCGATAAGCAGATAATGAATTGCGAATATGTGACGACGAATATGGGGATTATTTATCCCGAAATATGAAAGTTAGGAATCGGAGAGCAAGTTTCAATTGTTGTTGGAAATAATCGACAGGGAGGGGGTTCAAAATTTGATGATGTTAGAGCAGTCGGCACCATTCAAAAATATCGATGAAGCGGCGATCGATCAGAACTAGAACACATCTCGCAAAGGAAAAATAACACAACAAACAAATGTATATTGACAGCTACGGGAAAGAGAGAGAAGAAAAAAATTAAGGAAATTTTTAAATGTCAGCGTGAAGTTAAGCGAATGGAAAGCAAAACACAAACAAAGAGTAAAAATTTAATGGAGCGTAGTTAACGAGTGAAATTCATTCATAATAAAATTTTGAAGTTTACTAAACGATTCGACTTAAGCCGAATACAAGCTTTGCGTATCTTTGATATTGTCTTTAAAGTTTTCTTTAGAGTAAATTAGTGGAATTAATTAATAAGAATGTGCTCAGCACGCGAAAGACAAAGACAAAGTTTTATCAAGAGACAATATTTACTCGTATTTATGCGTAAAATTTTAAAACAAATTTACGATAACGTTCTTTACCGTTTCACTTGTAATGATGTTGGGGGAGCATGCTAAACTAACAAGTTATCATAACTTTCTGGCTTACGGCAAAGTTGAAATTCCAAAATAAGAAACTTGATGCTTTTCAAGCGGGAATGTTGCTCAGTACATGGATAAAATGAAAATATGTACCAAAAAGCAGATATGCTCCTCCATATCGTGTTAGCCTTGATATTTGGCTTCACTGTCCGTTTACATGCTTTAACCGGGTTATCGAATTGAAGCTCGCGAACTGTTTTCAAAGCTTCTGTGCCCTAGGATAATCTTTTCAGCTAAGTTCCACGGCTACGCTCCAAGTGCCGCAAATTTTTCTTTTTTTTCTTTAAGGTCTTTCAGTGAGCGAAAGTCAAATCTTCGCAGTGATTGACTGATCAATGGTCAAAATATTTTTTCCCAACTGCACTTTTTTTGTTAAAAATGAACAGATTTGCTTAAATCCGACTCTTACTAAAGTGACGATCACCACCAAGTTTGAATCACCTTTGCCGGCGAATATATCGCAGAAGAAGACTTGGAATTCATTTTCGAAAATTAAATCATTCGAATAAGATTGAATTTCTTTAAAATAGTAATTTTTTCCTCTTTTTAAAAAGGACATGCTTGAATGCATTGTGCTTGCGAAGACATATACGAAATTAATTCTCATATCACATGCGCCTTTAAAGCAAAATATGAATAAGAGTACAACGTTGCATGGCCAACAACAAGAATTTTAACAATTGACGTGTCAAAGTACCAAAATTATACAGGACAGACGGACATGCTTCAACATCAACTAACAATTTGATGATTATCAACAATATATATATATATATATACTTTGTGGAGTCTCTGCTGCTGACTCGCGGGTGTTGCAAACGTTTCAACAAAATCCTTATACCCCTTATCCTTCGGTAATGAGTATAACACAAACTGCAATCAAGGCGAGAAAAAGTTGGCTTTTTAATGATGTGTAATAAACTAATAAATTATGTAACTAAATGAATGATAAACTATTGTGGATAAATAAGAAAAGCAGTTATATATACGGTTTGCGGCAAATGAATGAAGAGTAATTTTGGAACAGATACAGATCCGAATCCTCTAAATTTCAAATCGAAGAGTTTTAACAATGAACAGGTAAATCAATTAAATCTACCATAGTGTCCTTTAAATACTAATATTTGAATATTTAGGCAGTGGACCAAGATTAGGAAAAATTTAGTAACAAACAAACGGGCAGCTAAGTAAACATTGGAGTAAATAAATAGGAATGCATTCTTTATACGGCGATGCGATAACCCTATGATGGTGTTAGTGATAGTAAATACTTATGCTTTGGTTATGTATATGTGATCGAAGTTTCCCATTTCCCATTGAGGCGGGTTTAAAGCTCAGAAAGTACATTCAAACCGGGGTTGGAAGCTCACATGTAACTGAATTACGTGAATCAAAGGCTTTATAAATTCAATTACATGCCTAAATGAGACTTCAAGGGAATTAAAATGTCTCCTCTAACATATATTCCCGTTGCATATTTTCAATGGTTTTTCGCAAAAAATTTAAGATTCATTTTCCAAGTTCTTCTTCGCTTATATCAACACAAGAAAATTGAGAACCAAATTGCATACCGGTTGCATTTATAGAATGTGTGTGTGAAGATCGCGTTCCATTAAATTGTTAATCGCTTTTTAGGAAAAAAATGTAGCATGTAAAGTGTACGTAATGAATGAGGAGAAAAAGTTAGTTGAAAAGCAATGTTTTCACGCTATGTAACCTAAACACGAATATGAAATTGCGCGATAAATGAACATTACTTTAGCAACTGTTATACAAGTTGTTGTTGTTTGCAGCAACATGAAATATGCATACATACGAAGGCTTTTGGAATTTATTCACTTTTTTGATAACATGCAAAACTTTGCCCGTTAAAAAGATAGTAAATGAAAGCTTAAGCAATACCCGTCAACATTTTTATGAATTCATATATGCGCATATGGTAAAATTTTTAAACTCACTTAACAACGTACACGCACATACCAACCAATCTCTGTTTGCATGCGAAATTTTTGCAAATTTTCTCAAATTTGTTTTTTCTTAAGTGCTTATCAAACATCAAGCAAGAACAATTAGGCGAACTAAAATGGATATGAGAATTATTATTATTTGTTTAAACGATTTCCTAAGCAGTTATAAAAAGCAAATGCGGTTTACTCTCACTACGGAAGTGTGAGTAAAGTTAATATCGAGTTTTACTTTTGGATAAAAATTATGAGACCTTATCGATGACTAATGTTATTTAAGAACGTTTGACATTTTAAGCAATTGCGAAATTTCGCAATTGACTCGCCTTGAAACAAAAATTTGTTGGACAATAGTAACATGACCTGAAATTCTTTTTCTTTTATTTGCCTGAGGGACTCTTTACAATGTCTAAAATATGTGGCAGCAAGTTTATACCCTGAAAGGATACCATTTTGTGTATTGCGGCTTAATGTCTTACCTAGCGATTTCAAAGTGGATTGAAACAGTAGCGGAAGGCCTTAGAAAGTTATTTATTTCATTTAAGAGCGAAATGAGTCAGCGTAGCTTGAGAATGAGAATGAGAGAGATATACAGCAAAAGTGGGGAAAAGTTTCCCGGTAGAAAATCTTTCAAGGACGAAAATTCGAACTACTAGTAAAAGTTAGTAAAAAAAAGATTTACTACACTATAACCAAAAAAAGAAAAACATGCTTAATATACATTTTAAAAGTTGAAACGCGTTTCCCTTCAACCACGATTTTTCAGAAGCGCAATATTTTGACTTTGAAATCTTGAATTTTGAATATTTTTCATATATTGACATTTTCAAACTAAGGCCTTCTACGGGGAGTAGTCCTATCTAGTTAAAAATCTTTCAAAATTTTGCGAAATGTAGTTTGAACACAAAATACATGAATAGAGGCCAGACACATAGGCGAGAAAATTTTATATCAATTCAAGAAAGGCCTTCCACCAATCAATACAAGAAAGTATAGGTTAGTGATAAGCCCATCCGGATGTTATACACATTCGCAAAAACTTAATATACTTTGTACCAAAAGTACTCTATTAAGTCCTTTAGATTTTACGTCAATCAGTAAAAATTGTAGTAAAATGTATGTTCCCACCACAGCTCTCTTGATAATAAAAAAATTATTACTTGCCACCGATTGCTTGCGTTGCAACTATTTTAACAGAGTTTGCCTTTTCGAATGTATCGAGGACGAAAATTGAACCAGCAGTGAACAGTGTTTGACATAAATTTTTTATGATACGCTCAACAATATTTTCTCATGTACTTTTTATAGGTTGCGCTTTACTACGCTCATATAATATCTACAATGCGTTAATAAGTTAATAAGCATTTGTAAGAGAAATATTTCAGTCATTTCAAAGATTGCTATTCGGCTATTGGTTCCATATCATCAGATCACGATAGTTTATATCATCGAATCACTAATTTGGGGCAAAATTGTATATTTTGCATACCAAACTTAAGACAATTAACTTGTTTGCCTGGCCTACTTTTGCCCTTCACTGAAATACAATAATTTGTGGTCTACTTTTGGGTGGTCGCGCAATTAATAATGATTTTCTGTTAATATGAAAGAAAAGGGACAAAAAAAAAACCCTTAAGTTATTATCTTATCTAATATTTAAAAAATGCAGAAGCCTTTCAAAAGGAGGGAGCCAGTTTTATGGTAAAAGTTAAACAAAAGCAGTTTCCTGGCAAATTTCGCTTTTGTATCAAATGCCGGTTAAAGTAACAATACACAAAAGAGCCGAACAAAAAAGTGTCAGGTTAAGAAAAAACAAAAAAACAGTAGTAGGAAAGTTATATTCGGTCGTGAACGAATCTTTTACACCCATCACAGCTATCCTAAAATAGATAAACAAAGTAAAAGGGCTAAATTTTCATGCCCTATAATATGGAGTGGGCGCGACTGATCTTTCCATTTTCAAAATAAAATTTTTTCTTGCATAGGCTTGTCCTTGGAAAAGATGCAGATTTGTAGGCGATATCTTTATTTTCGTTAACAGGAGAATTTTCACCACAGATTCTACTCAGCTGGGCAGATGAACAGACAGATATGTTTATTATGGCCAAGAATTTATATAGCTTGTCTCTGAGCCTTATAGAGTTAGCGGAAAAGAAATTACATTTTGTTACACTAATATTGGGTAAGCTATTGGGTCAACTAGTTTTTTGCAGGTACTACACCCATGGAATATGCGTTCATCTGCAATAGTTTATGAGTAGGAACAATTTTTTATTCCTTTTGAAAAACAGGGGTGACTTCAGTTTGTGGACCGTTTTCAGTACCAACCAGCGTGCAAGAACTTCCAATGTTTGCGGCCAAGAGAATGTTTACAACATATACTATACAAATGGTTGGACGGACAGACACAAAGACGAATATGCTTAAATCGGTTTAGAATTTGATTTTGATCAAGAATATAAGTATATGTGTGGCATTTCGGGTGCTTCCTTTTGGGCGTTGCAAACGTTTTGCCAAATTGAATATACCTCTCATCCTTCGGTCATGGGTATAAAAAAAATGGTAGAAAATACATATATGGTTTTTGATAGCATTCTCAGGCGTGCCTTACTACGTAAAGTTTTCATGCTGCAGCGGTAAACTTTATCGGTCTTCATTTCATTCGCCAAATTCTCGTTAACTCCATAATAATGATTGCGTTAGAGACAAAAAAAAAACAGCGTAGATTTTAAATTCAAGAGATTGTGGAATTTTTGCGCGATCGTCTACATACCGTCTAGATGTTGCTCAAAGAATGAGATAAATAATATGCCCCGCATTAAGTATTAAGAAATTGTATCCGATCACACAGGCAACATAATATCAAATAAGCCGTTATTGCAAAAGTAAGGGATGAAGTGGATAGAATATTAAGATAGGCTTTGAAACGACAATAACTCTACACGGAAGCTACTCAATTACAAGAGACGTAAGGAAAATTTAGTGCAATTTTTTTTTTTGAAACCATCGCCATAAGGAAAAAATGTCCCATCGACGTGTTGTTGGTGGCCTTATACTCTCTCTAATACTCGGCTCAATTATCTTAGCTGTTGTCGATAGTATTTCTCAGTTAAGATTTTCTTTTAATTAGGAAAATGATGATAATATAATAAAACAAACAAACGTGAGCCGTAGAGATTCGATTTCGTGGTCAACATTGAAATTTGACCAGATATCACATATGATTTCTTTGCGGTACGACAGTCAATGAATTTTTGCGGCAAACTGCAAACGGCGGTTTCCTATCCGCTTGATTCGGCATTTTCGATGCTGTCAAAAATAGAACAGACACGTACATCCTAAAGAAAACACTTTGTCCCTTAAATGTGTTAGTTAATCACTTATAGGTAACAAAAATTTCCCGACAGTTTTTTTTCTTCTAATGGATTTGCAGATCCAACTGCTAATCTTCGCAAATAAGCAATGTAACCGGGGTCGACTCATATGTGCAAATTAAGTCTTAGGCGTCCATTACACGTAGTGAGTTTATAATATTGTTATGGGGCATATTTTTTTTCTCGAAAATCAAGAAAAGACCTTGAGAACGGTCGTCATGAAAAATAATTGAGAGCAATTTTTATTTCTTGATTTGTTAAGAAAAGCGAATAAATAACTTACAAGAGCATTTGCTTTCCCTGTCCGATCATCAACCCAGAGTATAACCATATCTGCACCAGACATACGTCCAGTTTTTCGCGAAAATCCCAAGCCAATGAAACCTTGGGTATTGACCGTGACACGAAAATGAATTTCCTTTGATTTCAACCACCACTCCAGCCAATACAGACCGTTCGAGTCCATCATCTCTACACGATGCCAATCGGTATGACGTACAGCATCATTAGCAATGTCATCGCCAGTATCATTGCAGACAAAGCTTGAGCTATTCATCAAGCGACTGTTGTTCTTAAAATGACTATTATTTGTATGACGTGCATGACGGCGTTGTTCAATCGCATGCTCCGCATCCGCATCGCGCGACCAAGCCGTTACTGTTGTTTTTAAATAAAGCATTAAAATGAAGGCAATTCGCCAGAATCTCATTACGCTAAAGAATAGAGACATGATTGCAGATTTTTCATACGATTTTTTTTTCCACTTTCAGTTTTACTTTAATTCATAAAAAAGAAAAAAAAAATGATGAGAATTTTTTTTATTAGTTCACTTTTGACACGATTTTAATAAAAGTTTAATCAAAATATTTCTTTAACACTGGTTTGCCGTTAATCCTATGTATGTATGTACAGCAAAGTGTGTAATGCACGTACTTTCATTAATATTCTCTGTTTTTTTTTTTTTTTTTGCCTTTCCTTTTAACACGTGAGATCTATTGTTTTTTATTGTATGCTTCAGGCAGCTGTCCTTTTTCATGAACCGAAACCAAACGGACGGCATATGCGTTTCAACGACCGCTTGTCAGTTGTTATTCTCATTACAGATGTACGTTTGTTTGAATTCAAATGTTCGCACTCACGCGGCGCACAAACTTTACATTTTTCATTTCTCATATGAAGCATCTGTTGTTCATAGACTTCCGATCAAGTGATAGGGGTTGATTTTTAATTGAGTTTTCCCAATTGATATTTCCCAATCTATTTATTTATGAATTTTTTTTATTGCTTTTTGTTTTTCCGAATTGAACTGAAATAGTTTTCCCTTCTATTTGTCTTGTTCACAACAAAGTTAGTTTCACATATATTTTCTGTTAAATTTTTATTTGTTTTAAATTGTCGAAAACACGTTCAAATCGCCGCGCGACGCTTCGATTCGTCCTTCCATCGTAATTAATATGCTGAGAGCGAATGTGTCATCTACACTACTCTAGAACATGTTTGACCTGATCTTATTCCTAACGCTCTTGTACTCTTACTCTCCGCGACTCTCTTGCTACAATTTCTGAAGCCGGTTTGAGAGCAACGCCATTACAGACCCAATAGGAAATTTAAAAGAGAAATTTTTGTATTTTATGTAATTCTTAGAAGTCTCCTTTTTCTTCGGACAACCAACAGCAATAGAGATGTTTTTTTTTATCTATGCTTGGGGAAAATTTTTCGTTTCTTTCCCATTAGCATAAACCTAATGTAGAAGAAATACGATTTACTTCATGTACACTTTCATTGCTCTATCCCTTATTATACCCTACGGTGCTTGTAGGGCCCGATATATTGGGTTAGTGCGAATGGGCTTAAGGTAAGTCCACATTTTATCATATCAATCATTTCAGAATCATAATCCGAATTGATCCAAACCTGTCTGTCAGTCTGATATCTTCTCATGTAAATTTCTGTTCAAGCTATAGGTCGGAATTTTTGACATATTTTGATAAAATTTGGTACTGTGACGTGTTTTGACCAAGGACGAATGTTATTGTTCGGATCGGTCCATTTTTTCAACCACTCCCCGTACAACGCGCTGTTCCGAAAAGTGGAAAATATTGCAATTTTCAAAGTGTCTCGACAAAGATGACTATGTAGTAATATTTCGGCATTTTAAATTGGTATGAAAACATTGGATTGACTGTGGCAATTTTTGAATCCCCTCTCATATAATGAAAACTCAAGTTCATGCGACAAAAAGGTATCATTTTCAATGCTTTGTGATGAAAATTATATCATAATAGTAATTTAACATAAAAAACAATAAAATGTAGCGAATTTAGACCATCTTGGGCTATTTTTTGAATCCTGTCCTAATAAGGATTTCCACAGAAAGTGATCCTTTATAGAGTAGAAAAGTGTAAGATTTAATATTTGACGACAAAAATTGAAAAATTAAGAAATGTGTTAGACAATGTGGTGTAAGATATTTAATAGTCGCCTTTGCCCGATTATATATATAATTATAATACTTAAATTGTGATAAGACACCTAGGATTCTCACAGTATAATCTACGCACTAAATGTTTCTTATGTGGATTCTTTTCCTACTGGGTCTCTTTAAATTGTACCTTTGAGCCTGTTATGCTTGTCTCTTACTACTCTCTCTCTCTCTCAGAGATTATATTTTGCTTGAGTTTTTATGCTTTGACAGATATTAAAATTGTTTTTATGTATTTGCTTGATTTTTTCCTTCACATTGGTCTTCTCAGAGAGTATTCCCAACATTCAAAATGTGCGCTTGCGCATTTAAAACAACAATGCACAATCATACTCATAAATATATACATTTATATATATAAATTGTATTATCTAAATAAATGGTTAAATATGTACAGGCTCGTGTGTTTAAATGCGAACTTTTCTGTTGCAGATGCGTGCCCTCCATTAGCAGCACGTACAGAATAAATGTGACCATGTGTTCTTGTTAAAGTTGTAGCGCTTCACTAAATTCGTATGTATATATTTTTCATTTACCCCTTAAACAATTGGACTATAATGCATTTGCTTTTCAATTTGTAACACGAAATATGCCTACGCCGTTTCAGAAGGTTAAAACTGCGCTAAACACTACAGCAGCGATCCGATTACAGGAAGTTTTCTTTTTTTGAAGTTCATAAGAGTTCCCATTAATAACTTTGATCAGAAGTTTTAACCAAATAGTAAAGAGGGCCAAAGAGAAATTCGTAGCATTTAGCCAGACGCCAATTCATATCATTTTCATTAGCGATCGTCCTTTGGCCAAAACATCTCAGTACTAAACTCCGTCGAAAATTTGAGGACGAGAATATAAAACAGGCAGGCAGACAGACGGACAGAGAAACTTAAAGGTATTCGGAAAGTGATTCTTCGTCGATCGGTATAACAGAAAGCGGTGATGGGCCTTGCAAATACAAACCTAATATACCTTTGTGTCACAAGTCGCGCAGGATATAAAAAACCTTTACTCCAATGGCTTGATGATCGTTCGCAGTTGATTTTTCCACAAATCATTTCAAAGTCTAAATGCTTTATACATTTATACAATATTTAGATGTAACTCATGTTATAAATTTTTCTGTAGATTTTGATTATGCGTAACATAACGGGTTTCAAAGATTTGTAACTATAATATGTCTATGAGAGATTAGGTGAGGATATCTTATATTCGTTCTAAGACGTAGATTTTCTCACTTTTGCTGCGTTTTTATATATCTCCGTACGCCCATATCGTATATTGCTTGCAGCGTTAATACACTTGGCTTGCGGGTTATTCATACACCGATTGCTTGGTATACCTTTGCATGGTGCCTTGTTTTTTGCCTCCACTTGAGTAGCATGTTTTTTTCTGAAGCTTTCATTGCATATGTGTTTTATTGTAGACTGTTATTTATATAAAAGAGCTACCTAAAAATTTTTAATGATATGTATCTATATATATATATATATATATGTATATATATGAATGTATATATTCACACATAAATATGTAAACACGTACACATAAACATAAATATATATATATATAAATATGTACACGTACACATAGGAATATATATATATATATATAAATACGGCTGTGCCCGTGTGTGTGTGTGTGTGTGTGTGTGTGTGTGTGTGTGTCTATCAAAATGTATAAATTTTATTGTCTTTGCAATGAATGAATAACTTCGGTTCACTGCATTTCGTTTTGGTAAAGTTTCCTTTCCGCGGATTATTGCCGGGTGTTTGTGGTTTAAATGATTTATTTCCCTCTGTCGCCAAAATCAAGCGTTTCTGGTGTTATTAGAATAAAAACACGTAAGAAAATTACATTTGGCCGTGACCGAATCTCTTATACCCGTCACCCTTAACCTAAAAAAGACGAAAAGAACTAAATTTTCATGCTGTATAATATGAAGTGGGCGCGGCTGATTTCTTCTGTTTGCAAAATAAAAGTTTATGTCGCAAAGGCGGGTGGGCGTTGTAGGCGTGTAGCCCTTGAAAACATTTAAGTTACTTCCAAAATCTTTTGCAGCTTTGCAGGCGATATCTGCGGAATGTTTACCACAAACACTACGCAGACGCGCAGACGGATATTGGGTACACGCATTTCAAATTTGAGACTGGCTAGGAATTTGTATGCTTCATGGAGTTTTGAAGCTTGTTTCTGCACCTTATAAGGGTTGTGCAAAAAAAATTATATATTGATACACTATAGTGAGTAGGCGTGGACAATTTTGTGTAGCTACCGCAGTATCGCCCAACGAATACTCTTTCAAATTTTTGTAAATTTACTTAATGAGAAAGAAGTCAATTGTTTATTCTTTTTAAAAAACAGAGATATTCTCAATTTACACGACGCAGTGGGCGTTTCTTCCAACCGATTTGTCCCATTTTCAATACCAACCTGCGAGCAAGAACTTCCAATGTTAAATTTAAGGTAAATAGTTTCGTTCTTCCGGCCAGGAGAACGTTTACAACAGATTTAATATGGACAGATAGATGGACAGACATACGGACGGGCAGACAAAGGTATTTAAATTGCTTTAAACTTTGATGCTGATTTCTGGGCTTTGCAAACGTTTTGAGAAAATGACTATATCCCTCATCCTTCGGTGATGGGTATAAAAGCAATGCCAAAGTGTGAACAAAAAGAGTTACGCATTAAGTAAGACAAACTTACTAAATTTACGCTCACTTTTTGAGTAAAAATGATGGAACTTCGATCGAGGAACTAGTTAGCAATTCCTTGTCTATTATAAAGCTGACATTCTCACCGCTTTACAACCAATCGAGGATCACACCATCAAACTGAAATTTTTCTCTCGTTTTTTACAGCCATTAAGACAAGACCACGTGAACGTGAACTTGCAATAATTTTTGGTATTCATCAGAATATTTAATACAATAACATTCAAAGGATATGTTCATAGCCGCTGCGATCTTTGCAATCGAAAGGTTTACAACATCCAGAGGAGGCCCTTAAAAACCCATTCCGTAAGTTTGTTCGTCCGCCTCTCTATATAAAAAATTCCCGCGGTTAGAAAAGTTACGATGTCAGCTTCAGACTTGACAAAAACAAATCGGCCAGTAGACAAGCTCCCAATTATACAAATATATATACACATATATATATAAATACAAGATAATATACATATGTAATATAAATTGCAAACATATCTACTCAAAAAAGCAAAAACATTGGGTTTGTTGGTCATTACATTTTCCAATGAACAATGACTCTGGACAATGGACATTTGAGTCATTTTAAAACAATGTTTTTTTT